TTCTGTAGCTGTAAAACTACAGTCCTGTGTCAAATCCCACCACAGGGAACGGTTTGTGGCCACTGGTGGCACAAATAACTTGGTGGGTGACGGGATTTCCTGTGTCCTGGGCCAGTTCCCCTGGGGTGGAGTAGAAGTGAAATCAGCCTGGCTTTTGCAGACGTATTTTGGGGTGGAGGCTGTTCCCCATTGCCCAATCATAGAATCATAGAATGGTTTTAGGTTGGAAGGGACCTTAAAGACCATTCAGTTCCAAACCCCTACCATTGGCAGGGACCAGACCAGTGGTATTTGAAGGTGCTCTGAGGGCTGGAGCCCCTCTGCTGTGAGGACAGGCTGAAAGTTGGGGGTGTTCAGCCTGGAGAGAGAAGGCTCCAGGGAGACCTTAGAGCCACTTCCAGTCCCTAGAGGGGCTCCAGAAGAGATGGGGAGGGACTCTTAATCAGGGAGTGGAGCCATTGGATGAAGGGGAACAGTTTTAATCTGAAAGAGGAGAGATTTAGATGAGATCTCAGGAAGAAATTCTTTGGTGTGAGGGTGGTGAGAGCCTGGCCCAGGTTGCCCAGAGAAGCTGTGGCTGCCCCATCCCTGGAGGGGTTCAAGGCCAGGCTGGATGGGGCTTGGAGCAACCTGGTCTGGTGGGAGGTGTCCCTGCCCAGGGGCAGGGGAGTTGGAACTTGATGATCCCTTCCAACCTGAACTATTCTATGATTCTATGATATTTGGCTTTTCTTTACAGGCCCCAACCCAGTATCTGCTGGCATGGCTGCATCCATCCCTGGGCTGTCACCCTGCAGGCATCTCCACAGCAGCTCCGAGGCATAACCTGGAGCTCAAGGGCTGAAGGCCATTAGATGCACAAGTTCCTGCCTCAGGGGTGTCCCCACCCTGGTTTGTAAGGTCCCCCTGGAGGGTCAGATCCCTCGGTGTTGGACCCCAATCTTGCACAGGGTCTGCCCTTGTCCCCGCAGGCTGGTTAATCACTTCCTGCTCCTTCTGCCAGCATCTCTCGTGCCGGTGATGGTTTTAATCATTAGGAAACGTATATGAAGTTGATGAACGACGTGATGGTGATATACACTTACCTACATGGGCTTTCAAGTTAAGTATATTCGTAAAAATCTAGTAGAAACCCAGGCTGCCAGGAGGCTTTTGTTACTGGAAGTCTGGTTTTGTCCCAACACATCCTTCCATCAATTCTTTTGTGAGAGCTAAAAATTGGCTGGTTCCAGAGGGGTTAATAATCATCTGCAATGGAGCTGAGCAATTGATGTTGCTGCATCAAAATGTTTCCCTCTTCCCTTCCCCCTTCTTCCCCCCCACTTTCCCCCAAAAAAGAAATTCCTGGCTGATACTCAAAATCCAGTTCAGTTCTCACTGTGCAAGTATTAAACTGTGGGTCTTTTCTTTCAAGTTTCTGGATTTTTATGGGCACAATCGGTCTGTTAACAGGACTTTTTTTTTTTTTTTTTTTTTTTTTTTTTTTGGTGGTTTCAAGGCATTTATATCATTGACCTTTGCTTTAAAAAGTGTCTGACAGTCTTTACTGGACTGGAGCTATGAAAAGGAGTGTTGTAAGGGGGCTTTATTCTATGGAAGCAATGACCACAGGCAAAGCTTTATATTTGCTGAGTGATTTAATTCTTGCACATGCAGGACTTGGCTCCGCGCCATGTGTAACATGTTGAGAAAAGGTCTGCTTGAGAGGCATTAAAACCAAACTTTCCAAAACTGTCTTTCTTTTTCTTTTTTTTTTTTAATTATTATTTTTAAATAGCTTGCTTTCCTGTTATTTTTAAGCCTAACGAGTGAAATGAAGGGACGCTGCCCCGAAACGCTGCGTTGAGCTCTAGCGGAGTTATTGGGGAAATAAACCTGCTTTAGAGAGATGAAGTGGGGGTCTGGGTGGAAGGATTGCCAGGCGGGAGGAAGAGGAGGGTGGCATTAAGATAAAGGCTTGATCGAGGGACAGGAGAGTGAAAAAGGCAGCCCCCTGGGCGCCAGGAGGAAGCCTGGGAGGGAGAAGATGATACAGCTCTAATGCTTGGTCCTGCAAAGTCCTATTCATAGGGCACATCCCCAGAAGATGTGTTTTCAGGCTAAATTTCAGATTCCTCCCCAAATGAGTTGCTTTTCCCTGCTTGGCTCTGCCCGCTTACGGGAATATCGGTCTGGTAGCGGTCAGAAGCAAATAAAAACAAACTGCTTTTTGTTTGCTTTTATTTTAAACACTGTGACAACGTTGGGATTAATGTTAGGTCTTGTGAAAAGCTCTTTAAAAGTCAAACATACTGAGCTGCTTAACAGCGTCCCTTTGAATCCTGCCTCTGCCTGCTGCAGCTCCAGATAATGGTCTGGAGAGCGAGGAGACATCGTATTTCTTTTCCCTTCTTGTAATCAGTGCATTAAATATGCCTGAAGTTTCATATTCTGGAACTATTTAGTTGTGTAGCCACTTGGGCTGAGTTCCGTATTTTGGTGTGCCTTTTGAGTATTTCCTCTTCCTTTGGCAAGCGAATGATCAACAGAAATACTAAATTATGTTAATTTCTAACAGAAGCAAAGTCTTCCCCGAAAACATTGCAATCTACTGCATTTTAATTAAAACCACCACACCACGGATGCATCGAGCCATTTGGAGCCTCAGCCCCTATTTGTTTTAATCAGCAGATTTTTCCAGGGGCTTTTAGAAGCTCATTCTGTGCTGCTCGCTCTTCCCCAGGAGGAGTGAGGGAGAACAGTGGGTTATCTTTGTTGCAGGCACACAGAACCCTGAAAAAGTGTAGGAATAGGGTGGAGGTGACACTGGGGGAGAGCTCCCAGTTCCAGAAGGACAGGGAACTGCTGGAGAGGGGACAGCAGAGGCTACAGAGATGATGAGGGTCCTGGAGCATCTCCCTTACGAGGAAAGGCTGAGGGACTTTTTAGTCTGGAGAAGAGAAGGCTGAGGGGGGATCTGATCAATGCTTATAAATACTTAAAGGGTGGGTGTCAGGAGGATGGGACCAGTCTTTTTCCAGTGGTGCCCAGGGACAGGACAAGAGGTAATGGGCACAAACTTGAGTATAAGAAGTTCCACCTAAATGTGAAGGGGAGCTTCTTCACTTTGAGGGTGGCAGAGCCCTGGCAGAGGCTGCCCAGGGAGGGGGTGGAGTCTCCTTCTCTGGAGACATTCAAACCCCACCTGGACACGTTCCTGTGCAACCTGCTCTGGGTGGACCTGCTCTGGCAGGGGGTTGGACTGGATGATCTCCAGAGGTCTCTTCCAACCCCATGTGATTCTGTGAGAGCTGAAAGGAGGGTGCATCCAGCGCTGTGCAGGGGGGGCTCTGGGGATGGTCCCCACCTCCTCTGCTGCAGCTGCAAATAAATCCATCGCCAGGAGGAGACCAAATCCCATTTATTTGGGTGCTGTCCTGGCTTCCCTGTGGAGCACAGAGGTTTCCTCAGGCTGTTGGAGATGTGAAGAGGCACCTCTGTGCTCTCTCATCCTGGGCTTGGGCTTTAGCAGATCCCTCGTTTTCAGGTGGGATGGTTGTAGCCAGGGAGGTGACGGGAAAGAACATTTTATCCATTCCTGGGATTTCTCCGGGAGCTGAGCTTCAATGCTGCCAGTGTATAAACTTGGTTATGAAAGCGATAGGTTTGAAGCCTCTGTGTGGAGAGACTGCCATGGGAAGCCAGAGGAATGAGGGCAACCCCTGCTTTTTATAGCCTCCTGCTATTTGCTCATGCCAACCAACAGCAGTACCCTCTATTTTAGCTGTGGAGCTCCACCCGCCCCAGCCAGGCTCCAGCCCGGGTAAACAGGGAGCTGCTGGGGAAGGGAAAACCTTCTCTTATCTTACCCCAGCTCCTCCTGGGTAGGAGAAGTGGGCTGGGGAGAGGGGCTTGGCCTGGGTGGCCGTGGGGGTGTTGCGTGGAAGGGATGAATGAGATGATGGAGGAGAAGCTGAGGGTGAGCAGGGAATTGTCCGCTCGTCTGAAAATCCAGGTGCCGCTCAGCGCCGATGGGGAGGGGGGTGATTATCTGTGTGGATGCTCTTTTATCACCCAGGTGCAGTGGGCACGGGTGTCCCTGTGTCCTGCAGGACATGGGACCGGTGCATGATGAAGCTGGGACCGCAGAGGGGCTGTCGGAGCATCTCCTGGGGCTGATCCTCCTGGAGAGGTCATCCTGCCCCTCTGCTCTGCCCTGGGGAGGCCCCATCTGGAGCACTGGGTCCAGTTTGGGCTCCCCAGTTCATAAGGACAGGGAACTGATGGAGAGGGTACAGCAGAGGGCTACAAAGATGATGAGGGGCCTGGAGCATCTCTCTTACAAGGAGAGGCTGAGGGACTTGGGTCTATTTAGTCTGGAGAAGACTGAGGGGGGATCTGATCAATGCCTATAAATACTTAAAGGGTGGGTGTCAGGAGGATGGGGCCAGGCTTTTTCCAGTGGTGCCCAGGGACAGGACAAGAGGTAAAAGGCACAAACTTGAACATGAGAAGTTCCACCTAAACGTGAGGAGGAACTTTTTCACTTTGAGGGTGGCAGAGCCCTTCAAGAGGCTGCCCAGGGAGGTGGTGGAGTCTCCTTCTCTGGAGACATTCAAACCCACCTGGACACGTTCCTGTGCAACCTGCTCTGGGTGGACCTGCTTTGGCAGGGGGTTGGACTGGATGATCTCCAGAGGTCCCTTCCAACCCCATGTGATTCTGTGATGTGTGCGGATGGCTTTGGGCCAAGGCTTTTCAGAACAGGTGATGATTTCTCTTGCCCATCTGAAAACTGCTGGTCAGGCCAACTGGTTTTGCAGAGGCTGAGCTTTTCTGGAGCTCCCCTTTGCTTTTTGGAAATCGTTGCCCATGGGTTTCCTGTCCTGCTTCCAGCAGGTGATTCCACACAGAGTTCCCTGCTCTGGAAAGGGGAGTCCAAAGCTCTGACCATAGGTTTGTACTTTGGAGATGCCTCCCAGCACATCCAGATTTTCACTGTTTGTTTTCATTCTGTGCAGCTCTGGGAAATGCCAGTGTAAAGTCGGCGTCACGGGCCTGAAGTGTGACCAGTGCAGTGAGGGATACTACAGGTTCAACAGCAGCCTCTGCGAGCCCTGCCAGTGCAACAACCACTCCAAAACCTGCAACAGCTCAACAGGTAACTCCTCCTCCTCCCCCCAGGGTGGGTGCCGGCGTTACCTGTCTCCTCTCTCTCTGTTTTTTGGCTTTTTCATTCAGCAGACCTCTGCTCTCATCCCCTTCATCTTTGTGCCTTGAGTACCCACAATCTTTAGCTTAAAACCGAATTTAAAAGGTGGGGGAAGGTTGGAGCTCGTCCTCTTCTGGAAGAAGTCAATAAAGGCTGCGATATTTACCCCAGGCTGCAGAGCAGAGCCTTTATTCTGCAGTCTCTATCGGAAATCAGTGCTCTATTGTTCTCTGCACTTACACAAATACACAACACAGGGCTTTTAAGGAGCTTTTGTTAACTGCTGTTTACCTGGAAACATATACTGTGGTGGGGCTGACGTAAGGTGGCTGTTATTGCCACAGATAACGTGATTAGCGCTGGGAAAAACTGGCAGTGCCTAATTAATATTGCCCACTTTTTATAAATTTGCCTTGTTTGTTTTCCTTGATCATTTCTTTGACCCTCTCTCCCTCACAGGGATGTTGATGGAGTGTGAATGTCGAAGCACCTGTGTTTGAATAGTTTAGGGGAGGGCAGGGGGAAAACTAATGGCTTTCCCATCTCCTCTGGAAGGAGAGATCCCGGAGGAGCGATGTTACGCGGCTGCCTGCACGATCCCCACTTTAGCAACAAAACTCACACTTCAAAATCCAAATTCTCAGCAAAACTTCCCGGCTGAGATACAGTTCTGTAGTATTCATCCAGGAGCTTAGAAAGGAGCGATAATTTAAAGAATGTTGGAAGGTTTTTGCATAGCTGGCAGAGAGGCAGAGCTCACGGAATATGGTATTTCTGGGCGATTTCTGCAGCGGTGGCTGTTCCCTTGTGGCCTGTGTGTTTGCAGCAGAGGAACAGAGAGCTGCAGTGCTGACTCTGCCCAGCCCGTGCCCTGATCCTGCCGGGATGAGTTATTGTGTTCATTCCCTCGCTGAACCCTGTGCTGATGTCCTACTAATCCCAAAGGATACAAGATCGTACCTAACGCTGTGGGCACATCAGCTGTGGTACTGACTTGGAGCTGGCTGTGTGGGTTTTGTGAAGGAGTAAGATAATCTGTTTTGCCTTTTTTTCTCTCAGTGTTCCCCCCACTCTTCGTTTTAAAAAAAAACCCAACAAACTCAAACTCAGCACAGACCTTACCCCCAGGATGGGGCTGTTCAGGCAGTGCTTCTGCTGGGGCCGTCCAGCGCCGACTGCAAAGAAAGACCCTCTTTTTGGGTTAATGACCTATTGTTGATTTGACAAAAATCCCTTTTTTGAAAAATTTTCCTCCATCTGCTTTATTTGCTGCTGGGGGTGGGGGGACCCAACAAAACCAGAACAGAGAGCAGTCAATTAAAAATTAGATCCGACGTCTAATAAGTGGCGCAGTGCACTCAGCCTGCTCCAGAGACTGCACTTTGTGTGACCTCCCCAGCTTTCCATCAACTCTCTGCAGCCTTTGTCAATTTTTCAAGGTTTCTTTTGCATTAATGCTGTACTTAGGGCTCCCTCTGCCGGCTCTGTGACCGTCTCCGCTCGGCCTCGCTCTGCCCAGGAGGAATTTAAATTAAAATTAAATTACTGGGCTGGAAATTGGGCAGCCCCAACTCCCCAGGAGACCCTTCCTTCCACACGACCCTTGTGGCCCAGGTTGTGTCTGTGCGAGGCGTTTGGTTGCAGCTGCCCAGCTGAGGCCTGATCCTTCCTGAGGGCATTATCAGGATGGGAAGTGCTATTAATTATTAAGGTTTTCCACAGCGATACCTGATTGCCAGCCCGTGCAGGCGTTGCGTGGCTCAGCAACCTGCTGACTCATTGGAAACGCAGCCATTTTGCCGGGTGGGTGTAGATAAATGTGAGTAATTTCCACCGACAGGAAAGACATTGGTCCTGAAATGACCGAGACTGTGCAGAAAACGCAGGTGTGAGTCTAGATTTATACCACCATTAATGCCTGCAGAGCACGGTTCAAGGCACCCTTCGTGCTGATGGGGCAGGTTGACCTTCCTCCTGGCGTCCCGCTGAAGCTGCTGAGGGAGGTTTGTGACTGGAGAAGCTGAGCCCAGCAGATCATTTTCCCCTCTAACCTTGACATCTCTCCCACAAAACCCACCAGCTCGTGTCTGACAAGCTGTTGGGTGGTGCAAACAGTGCGTGGGAGGTGATGCCATGGAAGTGTCCTTGCTCATTGGGGTGCTGCCAGCCCCACCACCCCGGGGAATCAGCTGCATCCCCAAAACAGCATCTCCCAGGGTTTGCTTCCCGTCCCGGTGCGAGGGTCAGCTCCAAGGACACACCAGGCTTGCTCAGGGATGCTCAGCTGCAGAGTCATCACTCCAGAAAGAGAAAAGTAGGAGCTGAGCAGTGTGTTGGGCTTGCAAAGGAGCCAAACAGTTCCAACGTTAATAAGAAAATCTGCTGTGGGTTTTTTAACAGTCAGCATTAACCTAATTCCGGATTTTTTTCTGTGGTTAATGTTGATATGAGACTTTTCCATACCCCGGCAGCAGTGCTAGATTAGCTCAGTGAATCTCTTCTCCCTGCTTATATCTGCAGTGAATAAACTGCTCCGTGCTGCCCTGGTTTGTTGGAAGGTGGCTGTTGCCTTTTCAGAGTCTCCTACACGGGATTTAATCAAATCAGCTTCCCTCGGGTCACTGCCACCTCCACGAGGAGCTACAGGATGTTCCTGTTGATGGATGGGCTTTTGATAGAGGCTGCGTTTTTATAACTAAGGAGATTTTTCTTCCTCTGGTCACAGTGGTATGAAAATGCAATTTAGAGGGCCATTAGGACACAGCCTCTGCTACGACACAGCACATCAGTTTCCTGATTCAGGGGCTTCCCCGGGAAGGGGAGGTGGCTCATGTTCTCCCCTGTTTCTCTGGGAAGGTCAGTAATTGCTGGTGCCTCCTGCCTGTAGCGAACGTTCCTCCTGTGATGGGGATGGAGGAGCTGAACCATGCTGGTGGGATGGAGCCATCTGTCCCCAGAGCAGGACGGTGGCACTTCCTTACTCCTGGCCACCTGCTCTGTGGTGGCTGCACACAAAAAAGGGCAAAGGCATAAACTGGAGTGACCCCTCGTGGGATTTGAAGCATCAAGATCCCATCTTACTGGCACCGATGCAAACTCCCCTTCCTTGAGGACCATTTAATATCGATAGTATGTGTTTACCTGCAGTGACCTATTTACAGTGATGAGCTCTGGGCATCTCTGCTGGGGTTACCTACTTTTTCACATTCTGTGTGTGTGCGTGTGGAGAGGGGGGGACAACCATCAGAAGGTCATAAGAGGCCAGGATCGTGTTTTGGCCGGAGGGCATCCAAAACCACCTGTGAGCTCTGATAATTGAAAGCGCTTCGTGCAGATTCTTGCTCCAAATGTTCTGCTCCAGTTCCTGCTGCTGAACGGTTGCTTCTGCTCCTGCCCCTTCCCCAGGGATCTGCCTGCGCTGCCAGGAGAACACCGAGGGAGACCACTGCGAGCTCTGCAAGGAGGGCTTCTACAGGAGCAGCCATGGTGCCCACGCCTGCCATCACTGCCCCTGCTCCACCGTGGCATCGACCGGCACCTGCCGAATACGTAAGGCTTTCGCTTTGGTCCAACTCCTCAGATAATTTGTGTAGCTCACTTCAATTAATTTGCCACTCGGAGCCTGGTGAGGTGGTTGATAGCCCATGACTCTCCAGTTTGGGGGAGCCGGGGTGTCGTGCTGGAAGTGGCGCCTGCCCCGATGCGTCCCTGGTGTGTCCCTGGTGCTGGTGTTGCCTCTCACGAGAGCGGCTGGGCAGTGGAGGGCAGCAGAAAGGCTTCACGACAGGCTGCAGCCTGCTCTGAAGAACCTGCAGAGTTTTGCACAGAGAAACCACTGGGCTTGTGGCAGGCAGGAGAGGTGCAGGAGATGCCCAGCAGTGCCCAGCCATCCATGCCTCTCTGACCCCCCTTCGGAACATCTCCGTGGGGCTCCAAACAGAGATTCCCTAATCTTCCTGCTCTGTTTTGATGTAACCAAGAGAAGTCATAGCTGTAATGAACACATGTAAGACTTTTTTTTGATATTTCCTTCATCAGTTTTATGATGAAGCCACCTCTGGCTTCATGTAGGGCCCTAAGTTCCTGCAGATTGATAACAGCCCCCATATAGTTCCAGCTCTTTTCTGAAATTGGCTGTTTGAGATGAAAATGTTCAGGAATAAGAATCTGTTTGCTTAGCAACGTGCTGGGCATGCTCTGTGCGGCTGGTACGAGGCATGGGAAAACCCCAAAGCTTTCTTTTTCCCCTAGAAACAAAAAATGCTGTTTCTGTTCAAAGGTTATATTTTCAGGTTAAAATTTCAGATGGAGTAACACTCCACGCTGCTGTTTGTCACAGTGACCTGTGGTCAGGTCCCCCAGAACAGATCCCGCAGAGGGTGTTTCTCCGCACGGGGCTGTGGCTCATCCCGGGTTTCTTTCCCTGTTCTGCAGATCCTGGTGAATCCTCCCCGAGGTGTGACAGATGCAGGACGGGGTACACGGGCCCGAACTGCAACCGCTGCGACAACGGCTACTACAACTCCGACAGCATCTGTGTCAGGTGTAACTGCAACGGGAACGTGGACCCAGCCCTGTCCCCCGCCGTCTGCAAACCCGAGAGCGGGGAGTGCCTGGGTTGCCTGTACCACACGGCAGGCTTCCACTGCCAGGACTGCCAGGACGGCTACGTCCGAGACCCCGAGGGCACCAACTGCACCAAGAAAGGTAAAACTCCCTCCTCACACCAGCACGGAAGATCTCTGGGGGGATCAGGTGGGCACGAGCTGCCCGAAGGCTGGGGAGGGAATGCTGTTCATTGTTCAAATTGGGTTAGGTTCACCCGGCCTGTGGTGCAGGGAAGAGAGCAGACCTTTGTAACATGGTGTCTACTGGCCTTGGAATCTGTGGGTTAGAGTCAGCTTTGGAACCACCCTGATTCCCAGACTGTGGCAGGCACCTCTAGTGAGAAAGCTGGAGAACAAAACCATTTGCAGTATATTTAAATGTAGGTTTTCAGGTTTCCATCTCTTGATACACTTATCTCCTGGTGCTCAGTGCATTGTCTGTATTGACTCCGTTGCCTATTTAGGGCAACAAAGATGATTAAGGGATTGGAGCATCTCCCTGATGAGGAAAGGCTGAGAGAGCTGGGGCTCTTGAGCCTGGAGACAAGAAGGCTGAGGGGAGACCTTATCAATGCTGACAAGTACCTAAAGGGTGGGTTGAGGGAGGAGGGAGCCAGACTCTTTTCAGTGGTTCCCAGTGACAGGACGAGGGGCAACGGGCACAAGCTGGACCATGGGAAGTTCCACTCCAATCTGAGGAAGAACTTCTTTGGGGTGAGGGTGGCAGAGCCCTGGCAGAGGCTGCCCAGGGAGGGTGTGGAGTCCCCTTCTCTGGAGATCTTCAAGCCCCACCTGGATGCTCCTGAGTGATGTGCTCTGGGCAGCCCTGCTTTGGCAGGGGAGTTGGACTGGATGGTCTCTAGAAGGTCCCTTCCAACTCCAACAATTCTGTGATTCCATGACTGGTCCATTCAATAGCACTGTCTAGTTCTCTAGAAAGGGTGTTTATAATACATTTTGTCACTCCTCATACTCTGAAAACTGTAACTACTTGGACCAAGTTTAGATATTCTTGGGGGTTTTTTTGGCTTTCTAAATGGGGAGCCAAAGCCCAGAGAAGTTGAGATCCAAACTTGCACAGCGAGTCAACACCAGAATTCCCTGGTACCCACTCTGGGGGTCTCTCATGAGTCTTCAGTCCAAATCCAAGACCCTGCATGTGGCATCTCAGGCACAAACTAGCTGTGTACTTAAGGAGGCTACTCCACCGCGGGGGGATTCACAGTGAGAGAAAATGGTTCTTAAGCTGCTCCTTCAGTGGTTCTCAGGAGGTTGGTCCACAAGGTGGATCTCCAGCTCCATGCATGGAAACATTACCAGTCTTATGGATTAGATGAGAGAAGCCAGAGTTCAGGAAGGTATCTGGGCCCAAATTCATCCTTGTCACCAACAGAGATTTAATTCAGATCTTCCATCAGGAGCTAATGTGGTTCTCAGTCCCATGCTGCTCTCCGGAGGTGTAATCACAGGGGCCTTCTCTGCGCGGGGAGATGATCAATACAAAAAAGTTGACTGCTCATTAGCTGTAACGGTGCCGTTACGGGGCTGGAAATGGCAGTTTCGCACCGGCTCATCCATTATCTCCCCTGCACAGCTCTGGCTTTGTGCAAAGAGCTCCACGACCTTGCTCTGTTAAAATCCATGTGAGTGGCTTTGCTGGTACACTGCCAGCATTCACCATGCGTTTTAATTTCACGGTGTTGTTCCAGGCAATTCCTGATGTGGGGAAAGAAGAGACATCCTCTTCTCACTTTCATTTTCCCTTCACACCTATTTTTTCCCTTTCTTATTAAGCAATTAAAAAGGTGTAGAGCTTATTCCCAGTGTCTTACACACAATTTGCCTAAATATTGACATGGTGAGGTATACTGTGCATTAACTAGTTTTAAGTTAAGGTTGAGCAGCCTGGTTTTGAGTGGCTTCTAGAGTGAAATCATCACCCAGACTCTATTTAAGTGCCCAGCCATCCATGTCTCTGTGAGCCCCCTTCTGAACATCTCCATGGGGCTCCAAACAGAGATTCCCTAATCTTCCTGCTCTGTTTTGATGTAACCAAGAGAAGTCATAGCTGTAATGAACACATGTAAGACTTTTTTTTGATATTTCCTTCATCAGTTTTATGATGAAGCCACCTCTGGCTTCATGTAGGGCCCTAAGTTCCTGCAGACTGATAACAGCCCCCCATATAACAGTTGTAATAAGAACCTGTTTTTTGTACAGCCTGGGCAAAGCTAAACCCAACCCTGAGTGTCCACAGGATCTGTTTAGAGTCTTAAACCTGACCAATATTTAGCTGCTTTCAAGGTTGATGGAGAGAATATTCAAAGGATGAGTGTGGTGACCAAAGTCACTCGTTCCCGACCTCTGGGTGGATGGTGAAGCAGAGCAGAGAGGACCTAGTGATGCAGGGTGGCACTGTGCCACCCAGCTGAGCTTCCACCCGTCCCCGAGCACTGTCAGGGGGGGCTGCTGGCCCGGCCCCCGGCTCCTTGCGCTGCTCATTGATGGCAGGAGGCAGCAGAAGCTTTGTGGAGGTGGCATTTCAATGGAGCAGCTGGAGATGACGCTGGCCTCAAAGCTGCAAAAGCGGCCCCATTGACTGAGCAGCTGCTGCTCTCAAGGAGCTGCTCTGGGACATCTGGAGGGTTGGCACGGGCCTGGCGAGCGGAAAGAGGCATCGCTGGACGTGTCGGGGCCCGGAGGCGACGCTCCGCGGTCAGGGCACGGCACTGTTCTGCTGTGACATTCCTGCCAGCTCCAGGAAATGTTTTCACCCCCGTCCCCCTTTGCCAGCACTTCAACTGATGCTGACTCACAAATAAAGCCCAGAAAAGTCCTGTTTCCTCGCTGGTGAATCAGCCATTGTCTCTGCTCCGAGTTTTTTCTAATTATAGCTACTGGCAGGGTTTGCCAAGAGTTGAGTGTTGATGAAGGAATTTGGAAAGGATGACTGAATTCCTCGTGCCCTTCTCCCAAAGCTGTATCCAGGAACCTCTTGCTCCTGTCACGTTGCTTCCTACTGCAAAATTCTGCCCATTATCCCATAGAGAAATGCCTCCTGGCATTCAGCATCCCGAGCATCCTTATCAACCTGAGGCAGGACCTGCAGAGAACAGAGGAGCTGCTGCAGGGAGGGGCTCTGAGCAGGAGCCTAAATTAGATGTGATGCCCCCTCCAGAGGAGTTTCTTTCTCCATTGCCTGAACTGGGAACGTGACAGCCCAAAGTTAACTCGTGGGAGTTCCCCTGAGGGCCCGTAGCAGGAGATGTGCTGAATATTTCCAGCTCCTGTTGCCATTGGAGATGCAACTTAGTGCAAAATTAGTCCTTCGGAAGTGACTCTGCTCCTCAGTCATAATTAGCAGACGTTCTCTTCAGGAGAACTGGATCAATACAGCACGGCACCATCAGCTGTAATTGCTGCAGCTGTAAGTGGGTTGAAAATGAAGTTGCATTTCTGAGAGCAGGAAGAGAAGTGGCAGAGAGTGGGAAAGAGGGTGCAGAGTGGGAAAGAGGGTGCAGAGAGTCCTGTGGAGCAATGGGTGTAGAGAACATTTTGGTCGATTGAAGCTTCAGCTTCTGGAGGGTTCCTGCTGCCTGTACTTGAGAATCCAAAATAGATCAGGTTATTCCTGTGAAGGAAATGTTTTATTGGTTACATTTGGGAGCCTAATGCTCAGGCTGGTATGGTGCTTTGTGAGGCCTACAGCTCAACCGGTTTGAAGGTGGCGTGATGAATGTGCATCCCAGATCTCCAGTGTTAACTTGTCACTAACTCCTGGATCTGAGAGGGGAATTGTCCCACGTCTGATGGAAGAAAAGCTGGTTCTTGGCTATTTTGTGCCTGGGAACAGGCTGCAGAGGAAGACGGACCTTGTGGCACCGTCTGGTAGTTCCATGTCCTCATCCTTCACGTGTGGACACACACCAGCAGCTGGAACCAAAACAGAATCCAAACTGGCTTCTGCCGTTTTCGTAAGAACATCCACAGTCTTTTTGTGTTGAGATTTGATTCCCTTCTGCTTCTGGTTGTGCAGACTGGGGGTTTCTGTGAGATTTGTGCATGACTTCTTCATTCAGAAGCAGAAGTTGGGTTATTTTGTCCTTTTACATAAAGCCATGTAAACACTGAAACCCGTTGCTGGCCACTGGGATGGCAGAAAACTCATGCTTCATTTTTTCATTTTTGATCTTCTTATACAGGTAAGGTGGAAATAATAATATTGGGACCGTAATCCTGTATCTAGTGACATAGTGACTGTGAAAGGTTCCTGGCGTCGCTGTGTCCTCCCAGCCTGATGGTGCAGCCCACGCAGACAAGTGACACTCTGCCTTCCTTAGGGTCCAACTCCAGACTCTTGCTGAGCTCGGTGGAGCCCCGTTTTCATGGGCTGAACACGAGCTGGACTTGGTGTCTTGCTTTCATCATGAGTATCTAACACCAAGCCTTGCTACTGTGCCCATCCCTCCATCACCAGAGTTTCTATAACAATGCTGCACTCAATGAGCGCTGAGCACACAGAAGGATTTAAAAAAACCCAAACAAACCCAACCCTGGCTAACCATTTTTGTAAACGATTTTGAAAAAAAAACCCCACAGCTTTAACAGTGTAGACTTAATTGCCATATTAACTGTGCTATAAATGTCAAGTCCTTTTATGTTTGTGTTTGATTCCAGCTTAGCGTATTTCTATTGATAATTTTTTATTTGTTTTGCAGAAGCCACTCTCGGCCCAGAAACACAGGAGTTTACAACTTCTGCTCCCAACGCCAGCAAGGCAACATCCCTTCCAACAGCAGTGACAAACAGCACGTTGTCCCCAACAACCACACAGACTGTATCTCCTATGAGTTCCTCGGACAATAGCACCTCTGCCTTCGCAGACGTTTCGTGGACTCAGTTTAACATCATTATTTTGACAGTTATCATCATCGTGGTGGTCCTACTAATGGGCTTCGTGGGTGCTGTCTACATGTACCGTGAGTATCAAAATAGAAAACTTAATGCTCCTTTTTGGACCATTGAACTCAAAGAGGACAACATCAGTTTCAGCAGCTACCACGACAGCATCCCCAACGCCGACGTGTCGGGGCTGCTGGAGGACGATGGCAATGAGGTGGCACCCAATGGACAGCTGACGCTGACGACTCCCATGCATAATTTTAAAGCTTAGAAGAAGGGATCCAGCTATTCCCAAGTCGGCTTAAAAAAGTTACAGGGCTTGTTGGAAAGGGGTATCAGGATCCGTGCCAAGGCTCCACGCAGAGGAACTTGCTCTTCAGATACTCTTACGCTGGGCGTGCTGTAGCTTCCAGGTGAACAGGAAAAAAAAAGTGTAGTACATCCAAATTTCAGGTAATACGGTGAAATGCATTCAGTGTCCTGTTCTCCATAAAGATCCATAGAATTGTTAAAGACTTGATTATGCTGGGCTGAAAGTATTTTTTTTTAATGAAGAAGCTCTGGGGTGGAGAAAGCAGTATCCCGTGATTAAGCAGAAGTTACTTGATTTCCAGCCAACCTAACACTTATGTCTGCATCCTTTCGTTTGAAAAGGAGCCCATGAATTTAACAGTGGATTTTCAGGAAAAAAAAGACCTTTGCAAAGGCTTCATATTAGTTCCTGATATAAAGTTGTTTGGAAAGGAGGACAAAAAAAAAAAAGGGAAATAATTGTTCACTGTACTACCAAGAGGCAAGTAGAGGAGTGAGTTGCACACTTGAAAAAAGTCACCATTCTCAGTTTCCACTAAGCAGGGAAACAGGAAAAAAATAAATCATGAAAATATTGGAGTTAGGGAAAAGACTGCTTTTCCCTTTCTGAGTATTTATACAGGGTGATGATGCTATTAAAACATAGCAATCCGTTTGTTTTTTTTTTTCTAGAAGGAGTTAATGAACTTGTATAGTTTCTGTGCAAGGGAAGACGACAAGACATCTCAGGGTTGCTGTGTAAAAATAAAAGCTAGGCTTAATACCCTACCCTGATAGAAATGGTGTGTTCTGTATATAAAATGTAATATATCTTCTTGGAATTGTATTTGTAATTATTTGTACAAAAAGACAACCAACCAACCAAAAAAACCCCAACAACAAAACCATGAACCCTTCCCCAACCTCCCCTATTCCCTAAGTCATATTTTATCATCTAGATTTTAATTGTACAGCGGTTAGTGGCGTTGTTTAAAAAGAAAAAAAAAATGAGGATTGTTTAAAATACTGTAAATGAGATGGCAATATTGTTGGAGCTGGGACTCTGGCAAACACCGACTGCTTAAAGCTTTTCTTCTAGTGTCATTGAATAACTTTCTTTTTTAGAGGAAATGTGAGTGCTCCCTACTTGCATCTGTCAGATTTTCCCATTCCTTTCAAGGCAGAGTGAATCCAGTGTCACCATAACTAAGGCCTAACTGGTGTCCAAAAAAAGCGGATGGACCCTTCTGTTACTTGATTTTAAATCCTTACACAAAATGCAAATCCACTGTCACGAAGGCATTGAGAGCCTGATCTCGATGGCCGAGCTTTTCCGAAGCGGCTGCTCATCTCGTGAGTGGGTCTTGTTGCCACCTCTCCCGTGGTGACACAGTGATGGGGGACACTCGCCGGAGGGCTGAGCGCAGCCTCCTGGCAGCTTGAAGGGCAAAAAAGCAAAAATCTCCTGAATTTGGGTGGAAACACCTTCCAGCCGAAGAGCTGGTGGGAGCCGATCTGCGCCCAATCTGCACTTCTAGGCTTAAAAGCTCAAAGTGCACGGATCTTTCAGGACCTTTATGTAGCACAAGGTGGTGGTGGGGAATCAGCTGTTAATAAAACCTACAGGGGACTTCAGGTTTTACAGATTCCCCTGATTTTTGCGGGAGGACTGTTAGCAGGGGGAGAACAACTCCTGGGCAGCACAGCAGAGGGAGGTGGCACCACAGAGGTCCTGTCTGGTACCTGTGGTGTCCACGCGGGCACCGTGCCCTCCCCGTGCCAGGCAGCCACTGGGTCTGACCTGTGAAAATCAATAAATACCATCACATTGAAGCAGGGCATGAAGCACATATTTCACCTAATTCCTGACCAACCTCAGAACCGAAGCCGCGCTGCTGTCCCCGTTGGTGCTTTGTAAGCAATTAATGCTGAGGATAAATGAAGTACCTGCTAAAGGTCAGCAGGAGCTGACTGAGGCATCCTCAGAGCCAAGCAAAAATAAATATTTCTCAAGGTGAGAAATGGTAGGAAGAATGTGGTGATTATTTATTTGCTTTCTGGTGCTGCGTGGAGGCTTGTCTTATCATTGGAGACTTTTTGGGGGGTGGGTGGGGGGGAAATAGGTGCTTTAAACACATGCGCAAAGATGCCATTTCTGCCTCAAAAACTCGCTGCCTGATTTCAAGATGAGGCATGGCAAGTGGGAGGGAAAATAGTCGAGGATGAGCAAGGGCAGAATGTGATCCTGCATCCAGGCCTGAGCTGATGGAAAAGCTCCCGTCGCCTGCTGCCTCCCCATAAATAAATAATAAATTAATAAATTCGGCTGATGTCATTCAGAGAAATGTTACTTATAAAACAGGGGAGGACTGGAGGAGAAAATCTGGGTATTGCTAATCCTCCAGTTACTCATCAACCTTTTAAAGAGCAGAATGGTGACAAAACAGAAAATTTCCTAAAAATTGTCATTATTTGGCAGTGCTGACTTAGCGACATCTTGCACTTGGTCACTTCCTAGGGCGGGGAAAGGTAATTTAGGAAGTGTTGGCTTCTGGGGCTACTGCCAGCAGGCAAAGTGAAGGACAGATTGTTCACTTTAACATTTCCGAAATATTTTAGATCTTCTCATCTTTGCCACCAAACACCTCTTCCTCCAGTGTTGGTATGCCTGAAGGTTACTTTGTAACAGGAATAGGCTTTGATTTTTCTCTCCCTCTAGAAATGCTGACCATCTGCAAAACCAGAGGGTGAGTTCAGGTGCTGAGCCCTCCTGCCACGGCGCAGGAGGTGTCTGCATCTGGGCTGCTTCTGGCCTCCAAGTTGCTCTTCAATGCTTTGTGTTTGAGCCCTGGGTTTGAAAAGAGGAACAGTCTGTGAGGGAGGGAAGTACAGCTGTTGTCTGTGGGTTGCACATCTGGATGAAGGGATCCAGACAGCCCCAGGGATGTGATGGTGATGGGAGGCTTGGCTGGGCAGGGGGGGACCTGGCTGCAGGGATGTGATGTTGATAGTAGGCTTGGCTGGGCAGGGGGGGACCTGGCTGCCCAGGTTTGGAGAGCAGAGGAAAGCACAGGATGTTCTTTTACAGGGCCTGGAGCACAGCAGGGAGGTGGCACTGGGACAATGCTTGTCAGATGGCAAAATGACTCAGTAGGAAAAAACCCAGCCATCTCCAGCCAGGCAGGCCTTTGGCACAGAGGAACGACTGCATAAAAGGAGATCAATACCTCAGCAAAGAAAGAATAAAGAGCTTTGTGTATGACTTTGGTGATGTGAGATTAGATCCTCCTTCCTCTCACTCATCTGCCCCCTGGGCACCACGGGAGGTGAGAAGGAAGCTGAGCTAGTTCCATCTCCAGCCAGCTGGGGTTGGCGTTGTAGTTTGAGGGGGTGCAGAGCTAAAACACAAAGGCCACCAGGACCACTGCCCTGCTACGTGTTATAACTTGTCCTGAAGCTTCTCAGATGTTGAGGTTTGCCCCACGCCACGTTGGGGTATGGACAGGTAAAGCAGAAATGGGCTTGTGGGGCTGCATTGAGGCCCAACTCAGAAGGGAGCAAGACACAGGGAGGCATCTAGGGCTGATGTGGCAATACAGGTACAGGTGGCTTTCCTGAAGGGCCACCACGCATCAACTTCTAACTGGGCATGCTGCAGTTTGGTGGTCATGGAGAAGGGCAGCCGATGGGGTGGTACGGTAGCTGTAGAGCATGGAGAAGGTACGATAAGGCAGGTGAGGGCTGGGTGATGGTGGGGAACCATCTCTGAAGGCACAATCCTCAGGGTCGTGAGGGCTCTGTGGACCCAGCTGGTCTGGATGGGTCAAGTTCAGTTTCACAGTCACGTAACTCAAGGCAAGAGGATATGATGGAGTGGATAAAGGGCAAGAAGCAATGGTGTGTGAAAGGCACGGGGCAGTCTTGATGGCTCACAACGCAGGAGAGCATTTGGTGAGCACAGAGGGCAACGGACATGCAAAAAAATGATGTGGGTAATGCAGATAGATGTTCTTAAATCTTACGAACTACCGTAGCTAGAAATAACTGCAGGGAGCAGCCCTGGGGAGCTGTCAGGAGATGTCATCCATGGGAATGGTAATTCCCTTGGAGCAGGCTGAGCAAACCTAACACACTGGAAGGCGTTTGTGGAAGAGGAGTGGATGCATCCAGCATCCCTCGGGTGTCCCGGGCCAGTCACGGTCCAGCATCCTCAGCTCAAATGGGACACACAGTGTCAGTGCGGCAGGAGGTTTGCACGGTCTCCTTTAAATACAGGATATAAGATTGAATCCTAAAAATACGTTTCTCTTGAAAGTGAAGTTTTAAAATGAGCTCCCACAGGACTCCGCTCTTCACGCGTCAGAAGAATGGATTAAAATAAGGAAAATGTGGGCCTTAAAAGTTGTACTTGCTCCCAACTGAAACCCATCAGTCTTATTACACATCCAAATAAGGCGTCTCCTAAGCATATGCTATGCTTACAAATGCATTTCTAAAAAAAAAAAAAAAAAAGTGTATGATTTGAATATATGTCAGAATTTATACAGAAGAATGTTATTTAAAATGAATAAGAATAAATGTATATAATTTGTATCTATGCCACTTGGATTTTTGCATTTGTTTTTTTGTTCATTAAAGTTCAGCAGGAGTCTTCCCACTGACAGCAACCAGAGCTGGACTGGAACCTAAAGGCTTGAATCCGATCTCATCCCAGTAATGACATTTGTTCCAAGAGAATTACTTCTTCATTATCCCCTGCATGCGAGATGAGAACCGGGGGCACAAAAATGTTTTTTGACATCAGATATTCATAAGTACAGTTGACATTCTGTATCGGGTAATCCGTTTAAGAAATGAGCCCTCTGATCTCTCGTGTCTGTTTATTAACCATTCCAGCTTTCAGCTACTTTCATTAACACGTTTGGTAGCCCCAGTCGATGCCTATTTCCCCGTTATTGGCTGTAACATCCACACAGACACATTTTGTCAGAGATGTATGCAGTCATTAAAAATGAAACGTACAGGGCAAAGCTAGAAATTGGAAAAGGATATTCCATCAGGTTTTTCTTCATCACCACAATTGCTCTTTCAAAGGAAATTTATGTTATCAGATCCTCTGAATCCACAGCTGTGGCGTCAATAGTTTTGAGCAGCTCTGGCAGGGTCTGCAGAAGGACCTATGGAAGCCTTGCGTTTCTTTCCCACTTGGCAGTGGGAGGTTGATTTTTTTGGCACAGAAGCAAATGCTAAAAGTTAGTTTTTCCTGCTGAATGTTACGTCTAACTCTTTGGCCCTTATTAAGCGAAGAATGTGGAGAGGTAAATCGGCATCAATTAAGCAAACACATAAAACTTAGTGTTCATTCAAATGCTTAGCTAAGCCCGAGCCATATAAGCAGGGGCCACGCTGGTGAAATTCCTGGGAGTTTATTGAGACCTGATCTGCATTAGCAGGAGTTTGATTGTGTATGACTTAGCTTAGGAGGAATTTTGCTCTGAACTGTAAGAGGAGGCAGCGTAACAACACTGAATCGGGTAGAGCAGGGACTTGAGAAGAGAATGACAAGGAGGACCCGTCCTCAGCTGGTGGTGACATCCATCCTCCTCATGCCACCATCACATTTCAGCCACAGCACACAGAGCTTTCATCCTGCTCTTTGGGAGTTTGTGGTCGACCCATCCATACCATTACACTCACCATCAGTATTTCTTTCCTAGACTCCCTTTAGCACTTGGTCTCTGAGGGGGGAAGGATCTCGGGCTGCCTGGTAAAGTAGGAAAGCGTCGTTCCAATGGTACGAGGATTTAGCATAATCTCCCCAAATGTGCTACTAATTAAGATAAGGTTAAACAACATTAAGCAGATTATCGGAAGGCAAGTTGTTAACTGCTTCTAAACAATATGTTTCCCAGCCCTTTCTGCCCCTCGCAGCTTTTTGGTGCTGCTGCAGATTTTCAAACATCGGGCAGTGCAGTAACCCAGGGAAATTCCCCATCGTGTCTGTGTGTATCTCCATATATCTATATGCCTTTGTCCACCAAGCAGCCCTTTCATGAAGTGATAAACTTAACAACTGCTGATTTCCTTTGAAAGTCAGTATGTTGGGACGTGCACCATGGCTCTGCAGACACAGAGATGCTTTACCAGCCCATAGCACACAAGCCGAGAATGATCTGCGCTGTCCTTGTGGGTGATGGATGCTGATTTAATGGCGTGCATCAAATATGTAATACCTTACTGTAACCTGAAACACGAGCAAATTGGTGTCATCCTTTCAGTAAGTGGGCTCATTCATTTGAGGAAGATCTGCTCTGTAAACACGCAAAGCCACATGTCAGACGGGCTGATCAGATCCTGGCGCCAGACGGCAGACCCGATTTTGCAAACTTAACTTCAGCTTGGCAGAAGGTGAGGCCGCTGCAAAAGGGGACCCAGTCACGTAAGGTGACAAATGTCTCTCAAGGGTCATGGGGGAGCTGACGGGACCGAACATCTCTTAGGATCATCAGACCCCAAGTGCAAAGCATCAGGCATGTCCAATTGGATAGGAGATGAGATTAAGAGCTTAGCTGGGCTAAGTAGTGCCTGGCATTTCCTGGCACTTTGGGGCGCCAACAGCTGCTCCATTGTGCACTTACACACAGAAAATTGAAAGAGAAGCAGGGATGGGAAGCCCACCATGACCATACACATCCTGTGGTTGCAGTGGCTGCTGCCACCAGTCTGGGGCATTTTACAGGCTTACAACTTCCATCTGTTTTGAACAGAGAGTAAAGCTGGTACCTGGAGAAAATGGAGCTAACGGGGCAGTGTATCAATGTGGAATAATAAACCCACAAAATTACCACGGCCCATGGTGAGCCTATATCCATGTCCTAATTCCTGGCCAGGTAAGAATCCCCTTGAGATAGCCCAGAGGACAGTGAGTACGTGAAACCTGACACACTGGGTACCGAAGAGGAAACCAAATCCAAGGCTTGAGCAGATGGTTGTTGCTGCAGGTGAGAGCCAGTGTCTCGCTGGAACGGAGCTTCCTCACGTTACAGGCCACGCTGAGACAACAGTCCTAGCATGATGCCCTGGTTGGGGTCGTAAATGTTGCAGAGAAGCAGTTCAATCCCACACACAGGTTTCTGATAATGAATTAAAAACCAGGGCTAAGCTGGGGGGAAGCCAGGCGAGGTTTGGAGCTCCCCCTGACCCCCCAGGCCAGGCCCTCCCCTGAGCCCTCAGGGACGGCGGCGCCAAGGAAGGGAAACACTGGCAGCATTTTCTTCAATTTGGTGTTTCTAACTGTCCGTGTTCTGAAATGTTCAACGTGATTGTGTTTTCTCCCTGAAGTAGCGGGAGAGCTGCAATCCTTACATCTTCGCTTTGTGAAAAAAAAACCCTGATTGTTTCACACTCAGCCTGCCTCAATGCAAGATGGATTACGGGCGCAGCTGCCTTCCCGGATTTTCACCCCTGCCAGTTACAAAGAACAGTGACTAGAATTTGAAACTAAAGTGTAATTATTTCTCTCTCCAAGCCGGAGAACATGGAAACAATCAGCTCCAGCGGCTCTGCCAGGGCCTGGCAGGAGCCCGGCAGCACAGCCCAGCAAAAGCCTCTTCCGACCGCGTCTCTCTCAGAGCAGGGCCCGAAGGCAGCCGGGGAGACCCGGGAGACCCCCCGCCACCCCCCGGCCACACTCCCAGCCCTGTCCCCTCCCCTCGGCCGGGCCCTTCAGGCCCCTCGCCCTCAGCAAAGATGTCAGCTGCGCCCGGGAACCCTCCACTGTTCCCTCAGTAAAGACGGCGGCTTAACATCGTCGCCAGTCCTGCTTTGCAAAAGATGGCGGCTGGCGGACGCCTCCGTGGCTTCCCTCACTCAAGATGGCGCCCTACGGCTTGCTCTCCCTTTGCCCAGCTGGCAGTCGCCATGTCCCCCGCCCCGCTCTGCCCTCAACCGACATGGCGCCTGCCCGCCCAACGTCGGCCGCCGCCCGCAGCAAACATGGCGGCTTCCCTTCAGTTTCTATTGCGCCCGCCCCGTACGCTCCTCCCTTTTGGCTTCAGCGGCTTCACCTCCGTCGACGCAAAGATGGCGGAAGCGATTGCGGCCGTTTGAATTCCAGCGAAGCCGCCAAAGCCGCGCACAAAGGAGCCGGGGCTCCCATCGCCGGCGGGACGCGCGGGCCGGCGCCGCCATGGACTCGCTGCCGGGGGATGACCTGACGCTGCCGGTGGCGTTTGAGGGCAGGTAGGCAAGGCGGCGTCCCGGGGCGAGGAATGGGGCGCCGGGCTGGGGCGCCGAGCCCGCCGCCCCCCTCCCCTCCGGTGCGTGTGTCGGGGCCGGGCCTGCCGGCCCCGTTCGGGGGGACGGGACCCCCTGGGCTTTCGGCTCCTCAGCCGTGTCCTCCTCCTTCCTCAGCATCTCCCAGCCGCCAGACGTCTCCCGCGGGGATCCCCAGCCCGGCCCGGCCGGCAGCGAAGGTAAGGCCGGATGGCGGGAAGGAGCCCCCCGTGAGGCGCAGGGGGCGCCCGGCTCTGTGCGCCCTGCGGGTCTGGGAACCTGAGGGGAAAAACCTCATGCCTGAGGAGAACAGGCACAAATAACTTTAAGCGATGCAGCTTTTTTGTAAGTTGCGTCTTTTTAAGACTGTAAAACCGCCAGCAGCCGCCGCAGTTAGTGCTGTCAGCTCTCTTGCCTGTGGTCATCAGGGCTCTGAGCCTTACATAAGGTGATCAGCGGTTTTGTGGGGCGTGTACTTAAAACACTTAAAGTATCCAGCAAGGCAGCATTACTGTTTCATATTCTGCGTGGTTTTAGGGAAGTTGCATGCTGTGTATCATTAGGTTTCTCAGTATGACTGTGCAGTTGCATCCTCCCCGAAGACGCACTCTGGAGAAGTATCTTAGCTTTTATCTAGTTGTGCATTAAGAAGCCTTCTGTCTAGTTCCTGTTGAACAGAAGCTGTAATTCAGTACGTTTTTGAATGATGGCCACGATGACCATGTAACTGAGTTCGTGGCTCATTACCACATAACAATGTTCATCTTCATGTGTGGGATACTTGCTTGAAAAACTTACTTTAAAGTAAAATAGCTAAATGGTATTATTTTGAAACCCACCTATGTAAATTCGGGGTGTATGTCTTTGATTTCTCCTTATTTGTGCATGTATCCAGCCACAAAACTTGGCTGACTTCATTGTGTAGATGAAGTATGTAATTGAAACTTAGACAAATTAGATGGTTTACCAGAAAGATCTATTCGCTCATGAAAGGGAGCGCATGTAAGAAACATACCAAAGCTGTGAAATAATGTTATTGTATTCTGCATGTGCTGTAGGAAGGCTCTCTTGTGAAATTGACTAGAACGTCAAGATTTAAAAACAGCTGGCTGGTATTTTTTGGGTTATTTTCAAGACTGCTCTATGTAACAATTTTGGAAGTACTTGAAATGAAATATTTTCTTCTAGATACTATGAGAGTCTGTTTGAGTCCTCAGCTTCCTCTTCTTTGTATAAAACGTGTAGCACTTACATCATCTTAAATATTTCTATTAAAATTTGTAAGACTAAACTTTTAATCAGAATAATGAGATTATAAGTTCTGCAGACCTGCTCAAATGTGGTTGTTACAGAATGTGTGTGCAAACAATTTCACGTACATGTACATTCAGCGGGGATTACGTTTTAGGAACCTAGAAACTGGCCATTTCCTCTGTCTGTGGCTTCCCTGAGTCTAAGTTGGAGGCCTGACATGTGACCAGTAAGATACTGAAAGATTTGAATTGCTTTCCAGTAGTTTAGTAGGACTTAATTCAAACATAGGAGTCCCTTGCAGTTGCTCTGAGGACTTATTCTTGAAAGTGCACCTTGCATGGCTTAATTTCAGTGTACATCTTGGTTTAAATGCATGATGTTGGAATTTGGGAGCTTAAGTGATAGAGAGCTTATAGTGATCAGAAAGAGATCTAGGTGCTAACTACTTGGTAGCATTAACATGTAATGTAAACAAGGGGCAAAAAAATGCCTCCCTCACTTCCCAAAAGGAGGTGTACTTTATTATGTTTAGATTAGTGAAGGCCTTTGCTGTTATCAAATAGAAGCCTGTTTTAGGGATTCTGCTGTCTGAACTTGTTCTGTCTTCTTAAATGTCTAGTGTTACCAGATGTGACAGAAGATACAGTCTCACCGACGAGAGCTCGGACCATGAAGGACTATGAAAATGTAAGCAGACTTTTAATATAAGACTTGGTGACAGATTTATGGCCAAGTTATTTCTAACAGGCTGGCTGAAGTGTGGACTCTCCCAGTCAGTTTCTTTGGTTGTGTCAGTCAACAAAGATCTGTTGGAGATGTGACCAGCTGTTTTTCTGTGCTTTGAACCTCCATTTCTTAAGTATTGTGCTCAAGAAGTGAGGCAAAACTTTGTTGTTGAGACTAGCCAACTGCTGCTCTGAAGTTACGAAACCAAAATTGGCACCCTCTCCTCAAGAGTTCATGTCATCACCAGAAACGTAACGACTGGGATTGCATGTCTGCAATTGATTTATTTCATGGAAGCATCATGTTTATTTTTGTTGAGACTAGTGCAGGATTTGACTCTTTAATTCATTGATTGCTGTATAATACCTTTTACCTTTATAATTATGTATGAGTGTGCTTGGAATACTTTTGTTGTAAAGGTCTAGTGTCGTTGTGACAATTCTGTAGATAAAGCTGGTTTTGGCACTTAATAGACTATAAAGGAAAACATTAGGTTGTTTTTTTTTTTAATGTATTCATTGTCTGGGTTATTTTAATTGAATAAGCCAATTATTTTTTACTGCTGAATGATGATTTGGTTGGAGTACAGCTGTGTTGCAGGACAACTTCCCTGTTGAAAGTTTTAAATTGTGTAACTTCTTAAGATTGTGTGAAGAAGCATCTCGGAGGTGCCTGCTACAGATGAAGGCTGTGGTTTGCTCTCCTCAGGATGCCTTTGTGTGTCTGTGGTTTTCAGTGCCTTCTGCAACTGCTGTTACCTGTTGTAGCATTGTTATGTTTGAAATGAGTGTTCCTTCTGAGCTCTTTCAGTTTCTTGTGGCTTTATGTCCCTCTGAGGAGAAAGCTGTGCTCTTTGCTCGGAATTCAAAGCTTGCTTTGGAAAGCCTTGGTGAAGGATGTTTTTTACAGTCTGTAGCTATTTCACTTTCTCTTTTGTTTTTGTGTGTTGGCTGGGGTAAAAAGACATTGCCTTGGCATTAGTAGGTGCTTAAAGTCTTTTACTGTGAGATGTGCCAAAGACCTCAGTCTAGAATAAACATTCTGCAAGTGTTTTATTATAGTCAGTGTTCATTTTTACAGGGGAAAAAGTTTTAGAAGGAAGGAGAAATCTGTTGTTGTTTGTTCTTGTAGGAGGAGAAATCTATTGTTGTTGTGTGATGTAGAGGAGAAGGGGTCTCCCCACAGAGCTCTGGCTCCCTGGTACATCCAGACCCCTTACGTTAAATAGAGCTGTAAAACTTCTCTTAGGCTTTTTTTGATGCCAACAGTATAATGAAGCTCAAAAATCCATTCAAGTAAAGGAAGAACACACTTAAACACAGAGGTAGTTCTGTAACTTCTGTTTTTGAGTCTTTAAGACTGCTGATAGCTGGAAGGCTAAACTTGATAAAGGGAGGATTTACCTTTGTTCTGTTTACCAAGTGTCCAGTAGTTGCTGCCTTTAAATGCATTTCTGGACAGACATTGTAAGGCTGTTCTTAGCCCACTTTAAAACAAATCCGAATTAGCAGGTAAGGGATATCTCCTGCTTGGAGATGGTTTGTGTATGTGTATATTACTGCATGAACTTGCTGATCTTTGAGCAATGTTATTTATGCAAGATAAGAGAAGGCAGTAAGGAAAAGAGTGGCTCCTTGCCTTGCAGCTCACAGAGAACAGGGTGGATGTAACGACCCTTGAATAGGCTAAAAGATGGATCCATGTAGAGAGTCCTTTTATGTTTAGACCTGGAGAAGATACCGAGCTAGACAATATTAGAAGTCTAGATTATTTATTTTATTTTTTTTTAGTATTTATGGTGTGTCCCACTTTCTTGTAACGTGGGTAGGAACCACCTTGCAATAGAAAATATGATTATATGGGCAAAGTGAAAAGGCATCTTTAACTGAGGACCTTGTTATGGTTTATTAGATGTTCATGAATAGAAAGGATGATTGGTATTGAGTTAGGGAACTAAGTAATAATACTTGTGGGTATTTTCTTGTCTCCTCTAACCTACTTAGAGTTTTGCTGTCTTGTAAAAAGGCCTCTGCTGGCAAAAACTGTTGTGCTGTGAAACCACAGCCTCTGCTGACAGATGCAATTTTGCATAAAAGTGGCTCTGTGCCGGCTTGGAAAGGAGCTAAACCGAGGTAGGCAAGTGGTATTTGCTACCATGCTGGCTGTGGTGTATAGAGTGTATTGCAGTGTCCTGGTTTTTCAAGAGGTGTCTGCAATTTCTCTTCTTTCATTTCTTTTTTAAATACAGAAATCAAAACACATAAAGGAATTAAGACCCAATCTTTAAATGCATAAATTGAGAGGATTGCCATTAAAATCCATTTCCAATGTGAACTTGTCCGCATTTTACATGTTGTCTTTTATTAAGCTATAACTTTTTAATTGTAGTCTGCCTGAATTAACTTTCCTCTGAGAAACTGAATGTCAGAGACATTTGTTTCACTTCTTGGTTTATGATTGTGTAGTCTATTTTTTTTGCCTTTTGAAAATAGTACCCTTAAGCTCTTTGATTTAATTCTATTGCCACTGACATCCATGTGAGCAGAATTAAGGGATGCTGAGTTCTTTGGAAATTGTTTTTCCCTTTCAACTCAGAAACGTAATGAATGTCAGAGAGTCTTTGGCACTTGGACTTTTTCTGAATGAACAGAGACTGGCTGTTAGGAATCATCTGTTGACAGCTTAAAAAAAACCCCAGCAGCCAACCCCAAAAACAACAAACCAAATGCTATGAGGTCTGCTCTCACTACTTGCTGAACTGATCCAGCAAGACATGCAGGATCTAGGCCAGTGCTGCAGCCTTGCTTCATTTAAGAAATCTTTAATTTCTTTGCTTATTCCAAATAAGGATTTTGGTTTCGGTGAATGTTCTGTATTGGGTTCTGTGACTTGAAGTACAAAGTTGCATTGTTTTCTTGCTTACATCTCTCTGAATGTTCTGAAAGAGTTTTTCCAGTTATTTAGGGCACCTCATGAGTATCACAAGGTATCACGCTTTCAGCAGCTGCAACTGCATAGTTCAAGTTTATATCCACTGCTGTTTGTGATCATCCAATTGCAATTGTCAGGAAACAAAGATAAGTTAAATATATGTATTGCTGCTGTTTCTAAAGACAGACTTCGTCAGGATGTGTGAATGGGCCACAAAGTTTGTGTTGTCAAGTGTGTTTTCAATTGCTTGTGTGGTATTTACTTGGGTGAATAATGATGAGGCATCTTGCTGGGCAAAGATTATTAAACTGAAGAATTGTTTGCAGATGCAGGTTCTGAGTGCAGTTACAGAAAATAATCTTAGGTTTCACAAGCCAAATATTTTAAGAATTGTATTGCTAATAATTTTTACAAGTGGTACTATACTGTTCTGGAAAAGCCTACATAAATATTTTATTAGTAGCTCTGTAGCATATTAGATTTCCTTTGCTGAAAGCATCTGGCAGGGGACACAAGTCTTATTTGAATGAATGTTTTATGGTTAGTCTCTTAAAAGAAATTTAGGGGGAGACTCCTTTCTTTAATGAAGCCATCAACTATGTTATTGCTTCTACTAGGAAGGTTAAAAATGATAAGCAATTTTTTCCCAAAGAATTGCTCTCTGAAACATGGGATGGGATAAAGGTTTTATTGATATTCCATTTTGCTCACATGCCTTGTGTACTTTTCGCCTTTCTCACCACGAGTAAGGCCCCCATCCCAAGCTTTTACCAAGAAAATACTTCTGCTTATTATTTTTAGATTTTAAAAAACTCTCTTGGATTCCTTTTGTGTAAATGTTTTAGTACTTCAGACAATGTTTTAGTACTTCAGGAACATTCTATAGAACACTACCTGCACAACAGCATGTGTTAGATAATAATTACAAAATAATATTGTTTGAAATTATTTGCTTAAGTGATAGTGTCTGAGTTTTGCAGGGCTAAAAATAAATGCATGCTAAATGATAAGATCTTACACAAACACACAGAGTTTGTGTGTGCCAGTGTGCTTATATACCTTTCAAAACAAAAAAAAACCTCCAAAACCCAAGCAAACCCCCCAAAAGTTCAGAAGGGGTAGGCTAGAGTAGGATTTCTTCTTGTGGGGGGGGAGAGGGAAGTTGGGTCCCACCATCCCAGCCATAAGTATATTCTGTGATGTGTGCTGAAGCTGGAGAAGATAAAAACCTCTTGAAAGTGTTTGAGTATTTCTATCTCCCTGGGTGACACTCTCTTGGAAGGATGTTTCATTTTGACTTGTGTGTCATAAGCTGTTATTGATAGCTTCAGAATTATAATATATATATGTGTGTGTGTGTATATATATATATAGTTACATGTTTAGCCATCTCCAGGGAGTTGAATTCTGATCTTGCACCGTGGAGAGCAAAACCAAATGGTAGTTGTTTTCACTCTTTGTTTTACTTGGTTTGAAACACATGACATAATTTCTCTGTCTCATTTCACAGCAAATCACTGATCTGAAAAAAGAGAACTTCAACCTGAAGCTTCGTATCTACTTTCTGGAGGAGCGAATGCAGCAGAAGTTTGATGGTCCCACTGAAGAAATATACAAAATTGTATGCATTTAGAATGATCTAAGGGAATTTTAGATCTTTTTGAAGAGTTTGTTCTGTGGGAAGGTTACCCATTTTAGCTTCTAGTTTTATGGCTCTAAATTGAAAGAATGCATATGAGCTGATTGGTTGTCTGCACTGGTAGACAGACTTGTCATTGCTGATGTATTAAAATGGTATCTGTCAACTTGCAGGCCAAGTAGTTCTCTGTACCATGTGCACTTATGTCATGAGTAGTTTTCTTAGGCGATAAGAAAATAGTGTTAAGTTTATTAAAAACCTCGATAGTTGATACAATCAGGTTTTTAAAAGAAAATGAGAAGAAAATGTCTCATGGGTCAAAGGAAAACCGTGCATGGAAGCCCTAGAAGCTCTCAAGTTGATCTGCACTACTCCCCATTGTAGGAGTTAAGTGTGTGTAGGGAATTTGTATTGCTTGAATACAATGGTCTTAAACACTTTTTGAGACTTCTGAGGTCTTGAACCTTGCAAAATATGCCCTTTAAAATGTCTCTATGCTATTCTTAGCCCAATGATGCTTTATATTTGCTGGTCAAAAAAAAATAGCCTACAGATTGCCAACAACTTTTGGGTAGGGTGACCTCTGACTTCGCTCCAGACACTTTCATTCTTTTGTCCTAGAACATTGAGCTGAAAGTGGAGATAGAAAGCTTGAAGCGCAATCTGCAGGAGAGAGAGAAACTACTCATCAAAGCCTCGTAAGTACCAGTATATTTCTTGATGTCTGTGACTTAGAATTTCCAAGATCTTGCTTCTGTTTGTTTTTTTTTTTTCCTGATGTTCTAGGAATATGAGGGTCCCAAATAGTATTTTAAGGG